ATAAAAAAAAAAAAAAAAAAAAAGGAAAGAAAAGAAAAAAAACTGTACAACTCAGAGCAATGTTTGTTTTAAATAATTACATTTACATTCAAACTAAATGGAACCACTATGTTGCTCAAGTTTTTATCACCCCTTCCAGAAAATCTTTTTCTACCATCTCTTCTATTTTTTGCCTGGCTTTGCTGGAAAATGGTTTGTGGTTTTCCAGCTTCATGTCCTTGCTCGGGAAGGTGTTTGAGTAGAGGACGGGGCTCCCTGAGTGTCCTGCGCATCGGCTGGTGACTTTGCTGTTGAACACTTGGCTGAGCACGTTGAAGAATGGCAAGAGCTGCTCAAGGCTGCGCACCGTGCAGACGGTGAGCAGCAAGTGCCCCGGCTCCCAGCCCAGCGCTCTCCCTGAGTTGTCCTCCTCCGGGTTTTTCTGCAGAAAACAAAAAGGTGATTGTTCCCAACAGACGATACAGTATGTGAGGAAACTTAAAAGAATATAAACATCAGCAAACAGAGTTAAGAAATGAATACAAGTGATGACATTAAGTCTCCATTCCAGACTTGCTAAAACGTTTGCTTCTAACTGAGGCCTTCTGGTGCCAATTATTAATTGTACATTGAGGGTCTAACACTGTAGTAATATTTTCCAACTTGAATGCACAAGTAAGTTTAGTTATTAGCTGAATTAGTTTTGCATAGGGACTGTCAAACCCAAAAGTTCATGTTGTGCTTTGCATATACTCAAAAAGCTCCCAGATTTCTGGATCCCCACTGATGTATCCGAGGACTAGGTCAAAATGACTGAAGAAGGGACAGAGAGTCTTACACATTTCACTACTAGCAAGTCAGTCAATTACCTGGTGGCCAAATGGTTTAAACTTGCCACAAGACAGCAGCAGAGTCAACAGTGAATCATTACTATCAGCACAGAGAAAGGAAAGGAACTCCCAGGAGAGACCCTGCCATGCGCTTCTGTGTTGTGCTAAACCACATGGGAGCAAAGCTGGACCTGGAGTCAGAATAATGCCAGGGTCAGGGCCCTGGCTCTGCCGCTTGCTTACTGTGGGTGTCCTGGGCAAGTACGGAACAGTTCCTCACTTATAAGATGGGGCGATGAAGAGAATGTATGTGAAAACTCTTGTCAACTGCATTAACACGACAATTTACGTACTTCAAGTAGCTAGTTTGAGAAGCCAGCTAAACTGTATACACACAGCTGTAGACATCGGTCTATCTAGAGAAAGTTCTGAGAGAACTGAAGATGTTTGAACTGGGGCAGAATCATAGATATGAAAACACACTGAGTAAAGATAATGAACTAGAGAGAAAAAACTATCAGTGGGACTTAGGAAGCAGAATTATAGTCTGTCATTATTTGTTAACAAATGGAGTTTGCCTTCTAAGATGAGATGTTGCTGAGAAACTTGCATTGTTCACTTAATATTTTAATATCACTAGTTTCCTAGTGGAGAAAACAGATGCAAAATCCAGCTTATATCTTGTGTGTGCTTACAATGTTTGCTTATTTTAAAATAAAATCCTGTTTTAAATCAGTTTTCCTTTCTCAAAAGTCTACAGGAGCAAACAAGAAAAAAAGATCATCTAGTTCTTTATCTATGGCCAAATTTAAAAAAAAAAAAAGAAAAAAGAAAAAACAGCTATTAGTTTATTTCTTAGTACAAAACCGCTTTCCTTTCTCTCACCTAATAACACTGGCTTTAATGACGGTCCAGGACTGATGACCGCACCACCGTCAGTCCCCTGAGTCAGAGTGCAATTCAGTAGTCACGAAAGGGTCTACAGAGATGCATTTACTCTGAGGGGAAACGAGTAATACGCTTGAACCCTTGACACAGCTGATTTTCAAATGTAAGGAAGCTATGATGTAACCTTTTGTTTATATTCTTGTCAAGATGTATCTTTAAGAGGACTTTTATTAAGCTCTTGACCAAGAACAGTGCACTTGTTTTATAGTGTTTCTGCTTTTCTGAATCAGAACTACACCACCTCCTCAATAATAAAATTAACAAGTCAAACGTGTTTCCATATGGACTATTTCTCCTTTCACTGCAACAGTCTACACTTGAAGAAAGACTTCCTTCCTGTTTACCTCTCTTGTTCTGTTGAAATCCAGACCTGGGTTTGTGTCTCGAGATTTGGTCCAGAGGTGGCAGCTTTTGCTGCCATACTACAAGCATCAAAAAGCCACCCTCACCTGATGCTTGGCCATGTCCAGTCCCTCCAAAGTCACTGTCTTAAAGTCCTCCTCGTCCTGTGGAAGGAAAGAGGAGAGCTCATAGCCTTTGCTCCAGTGAAAAGTGGGCTTGGCCATGAAGACCTTGTTTAAGGTGTTTTGGATGGGAAAATGCTTTCCAATCAAAACATTTTTTATTCTGTGGGACAAGTGTTGTGCAAAAGACTGTCATGTTTATCCCTCAGATAAGGGAGGAGTTTTATAAAAACTTTCATTACTAATGAAATGCAGGGATGACAAAGTACATGTGCCTATAATCACATTGCTTCCGGATTTGTTGTCATGATAATTTTTTCGACCCTGCAATATCAACATGAAAGTACCCAAGTGCTCTCCTAAACTCTGGACTCAACTTTCATCTTTCATCTCTTCTTTTACTTATTAGTCCCTAAAGAAACAACTTGATTTGAAATCAAGTTCCGCATGTCCTTCAAGGACACTGTCCTCCATTCCATCTCTGGAGTGTGTGGAATGTGCTTTAGGAGCTGCTGCCTGAATAGGGGACCCCAGAAGAGTGGAAAATTTCTGAGCACTCAAAGCACATATTACAAACTAGGGCTCGCAAAACAACCCAGATCGTCCCCAGATTGTACAATTTATTTTTGAAATTTTCTGAATGCAAGGAAAACATGACAAAAGGTTTGTAACAGAGGCCTACTGATGAACATAAGAAACTCACTACTATTTTCTTGGGTAAAGATCTGTAATTAATTAGCCTGATGCACAGTGGAAGATGCACATAAGATACGATATAAGTATATTTTACAAATTTAATCTTCTTACACTTAACAAAAATTTAAAAAAGAACGCAGGGCTTCCCCGGTGGTGCAGTGGTTGAGAGTCCGCCTGCCGATGCAGGGGATGCGGGTTCGTGCGCCGGTCTGGGAGGGTCCCATGTGCCGCGGAGCGGCTGGGCCCGTGAACCATGGCCGCTGAGCCTGCGTGTCCGGAGCCTGTGCTCCGCAACGGGAGAGGCCACGACAGTGAGAGGCCCGTGTACCGAACCATGGCCGCTGAGCCTGCGTGTCCGGAGCCTGTGCTCCGCAACGGGAGAGGCCACGACAGTGAGAGGCCCGTGTACCGCAAAAAAAAAAAAAAAAAAAGAACGCAATACCTTTGCCCTTTTCCGAAGAAGCTTTGCAAGTCGTACTACGTAAGGTTTAAATTCTCGTTGATGTATGCCCTGCCTTCTCACTTCCAAACCGGAATCATCTGAGGCTTCTGGAATAAAGGCCCATCGGTACCTACGTATAGAAGAATGATACCAGTATCGGTAAGATGCACGCTGTGCCATCTAAGACAAGGCCACATAAATCCAGTAGACACATCATGACCCCACCACTTATACAGATTCACATACCAGCTGTGCCACTTGTAGCCCTGTCACCTTGGGCATGTTTCTTAACCTGAGCCTTTACCAGTAAATAAGGACAATATTAACTACTTCATAGAGTTGAAATGAGAACATGAACATTTGTAATGAACAAATGAAATTTGGAAAGTACTCAACACCATTTTTTCCATGTGCACAACACAAGTAACTTGACAAATGTTTCTGTGCTCATTCATTACTATATAGATAAAAATCTCCAACATTTATTTAAAATTTTGTCTTTAATAAGTAAAATTAATATCTGTCTATGGAAAAAACTCAAACAGTATAAAAGGGCAAACCAAAGAAAGGCAGTCCCCTTCCCACCACAGGCTCCACCAATACTGCCAGTTTCGTATATACCCATTCAGAGTTTTATTATGCATAAAAGAGCACACAGTCACACAAGCAACCCTCTCCTCTTTTAATAAATAAAATGATTGCTGCTTATTTTAATTACACATCTTGGAGATAAGGTCATATAAAACAGCATCCTTTTTAACAGTTACATAGTACTCCAGGGCTTCCCTGGTGGCACAGTGGCTGAGAGTCCGCCTGCCGATGCAGGGGACGCAGGTTTGTGCCCGGTCTGGGAGGATCCCACATGTCGCGGAGCGGCTGGGCCCGTGAGCCATGGCCGCTGAGCCTGCGCGTCTGGAGCCTGTGCTCCGCAATGGGAGAGGCCCCAACAGTGAGAGGCCCGCGTACCGCAAAAAAAAAAAAAAAAAACCAAAAAAACAGAAACATAGTACTCCAGTGTTGGAAGGTACTGATTCAACCAGTCTCCTAGACTGTCCGATTTCTTGCTATTACAAATAGTGCCATAATGGATACGCTTACGTAACTGCTGACTTTTATGTGTGTCTGAGAGGACAGTGAGTGGAGAAACCCTCGGATACAGCAGAATTACTGGCCTAACGATAATCTGTTATTTTGAATTTTGGTAAATATAAACCTCTCTGGAGAAAAATTAGACAATATCAATGTACTCTTCCAACAAGAGTAAGAACATCTCTATTGTTAAGGGTAAAAGGAAGTACACTTTTAGATCTTTAGCATTCTGATAGTTATTAGTAACTTTAATTGGAATTTCTCTTATGAGTATCACTGAGCACCTTTTCGTATGTTTTACAAGCCATTCCTTTTCTCTGAACTATTTGTTAACCCTGTCATTGGCCCATTTTTCTATTGTGTTATCCATTTTTACATATTAAGCAAGTTAGACTTGGTCATATACATTGTAAATATCTTTTCCCAACTCAATGCTGCCTTTCAATCTTTATGGTATTTTTTAGTCACACAGACTAAAAATTGTATGTAACTAAATTATGAAATATTTTAAACTTTTGAAATAAAATCATGCTTAGATATTACCCTTTCATCAAGATTATTAAATTCTCCATGTTATCTTTTATTACCTTATAGATTTTTTGAAAAAAGACAGTAGTTAAAAGAAAAAAACTGTAGTTGATACTACAGCATTTTTATCTCTTTTCTGATTCTTGACAAGTAAAGAGGATAAACTCATTTTGGCTCTCATCACAGAAGCTGAAAGGTCACTGCTGTGAGCATGACACTCTCCCTAGAGCATGAGGACTGTAGTGTCTGTTACCTCTGTGAACATAAGCATGCTAGTTAATTTTGGCCACTTTCCTACAATTCTGCTTAGTATCCTTTTCTGAACTTCTTCAGGAGTAACATCAGTTTAACAGACACCCAACCACTGAAATTCATTAAGAAGTGGATATATATGCTTTTCAAATGGAAAAAAAATTAAAGGAACTGGAATTAATGTAAAAAAATTTCTAGTTCTTACCATTAAATTTAATGAAAAGTAAGCTTGTGCAACAGAAATTTTTAGAGATTTAAGTATATACAAATATAGAAAAAAGATTCTGGTATCTTACTCTTTATCCTATTAATATTCCATTCCAGAAGAATAATGTAACACAATTTTAGATATTATATAAATACATATTTGATCATGTGGATAAATTCTCAAATTAGCTACATAGTGATAAAGCAATCTTATACAGTTTGCCTATTGTTTTAAAAATTTAAATATGAAAAATCGTAAATATTTTTGAGCACTTATGAACAAGGCATTTAACTTACGTCAATTTCCTCCCTATTCCCCTCTGCCATTTCTAGTTCAATTCACTATCATCTGAAAGAAGAGCCTCCTTGTTTCCAGTCTTGCCAACCTCCCATCCTTTCTCCAAACTACACAGCCAAAGTAAAATTTCTAAAATACAAGACTGATAACATCACTTCACTCCTTAAAATTCATGCTTCAGCGGCTTCCCACTGTCCTTAGTTAAAGTCCAAGTTCTCGAATATAACTCGGGCCCTTTCCAGCCTCATATCTCAACATGCTGCTCCAGCAATACTGACCTTTCAACACTGCAGACACACCAGGGCCATTCCAACCTCTAAGTCTTCACCCCTGCTTCCCCCAGCCATCACCCCACCTCCTCAGTGTAAAACTCCCCTCAGGCCTGCTCTGACCCCTAGAGCTCAGAGGGGTCTCCGCTGTGTGGCCTCACAGCATCCTGCACAGCTGTTCTCAGAACACCCACGGTGTGTTAACGGCGTGTCTCCTACACTGGACTTGAAGCTCTTAAGTCATGTATCCGGCTGCCTCACGTGTGCTGCCTACTCAACTTGTTGACTGAATGATCTGTCAGTCTTAATATACCCACAACGGCCATTTCTGATACCTTCCAACAACTGTTGCCCTACCATCCTCCTGCCAAAACAATTACATTTTAATAAAAATTATGAATACTTCAACTTACACAAAAAAACTTGATCTTAGATGTCACCAACCAAAGCAAATGCATTTCAAAAATATTCATTTAATATCCTTACTTTTACTTACATCTGAAACTGAGGAAGATTTTCGGAAGGCAATGCCAGAGCCAGATCCAAAAATTTGCAAGCAGAAAGATAGAGGTTTAACCACCGCTGGCTGTTATATGAAGTAGAAAAGCCATTACCTCCTGTGTAGGTTGTCTCCAGACCAGCCACAGAGGGGCCTGAAGTCCTATAAGCAGGAGACAGTGCTGTCAGCAGTTGGACCCACTTACAGGTAATTCCTGGAAAATCTCAAAGTGCCAGCTAATATTTTTCATAATCATTCTGATAAATGTACCAGTAATCGCTAAGCAAGTTCATGACTAAATTAATATTACTGTTCTCAAATCAAAAATTAATTTTTCTTCTTTAAATTTTAAGAATGTAAAAGTAGTAGAGAATAACTTGTTATACTCGAGAAGTATAAAAATACAAGCTGTAAAACCAAGAGGCCTCCCTACTACCCAGTGTCCTTCTGCAAGGATGGTGGGAGGGAAACTTTCTATAATAATCAACACAGTTATTAGTATAGGAGACTCTCTTTTATAAACCTAGGATTAAAGAAGAGTAAAATATATTCAAGACACACAGTGTTAAAGGAACTTTTTAATTTATAAACTTTTTTGTACAAAAATTCCTAAATAAAAATAAATTATATTTAGTCACATATTAATAAACTGCTTCTGCTAAAAAAAAAAACCCAAATTTTAGTACATTAAATTGAGATCATCCTGGAAGATATGGACATTTGTATATCTTAGTTACAGGTTACCTGCCATAATAGGTTTTGCTGAATGTTTCAGGAAAAAGATCTGACCTACTAAAACCAATACTGCTCACATAGTTGAAACAGTATTGCTTTAAACTAAATTTGTGTCTAGAGGCCAAAGGCCACTCATGTTGATAGTTTAATTCAGCCTAAAATACCTAAGGAATACATGAAACTGTATTATACCCAAATATGATCAATTGGATAATAACAGACTAAATACATAAAGTGTTCAGATAAAATAGTGTCTATACCCTCCTAGTTGTAAAGTAATGTTCTGGATGATTTTAGGATACTACATACTGACAAGACTAAATCAAAATGAATTACATATTACCGTGAAATGTCTTCATCAGCAGTGAGTTCCTGCTCCATCAGTAAAAATACCTGTACCTGAAGACCATGGAAAAAGTGTCAAATGTTTATTTAAACCTTCTTTCAAGTTATCTTCAGGCTATATTTTCATTAATCCAAATACAGATTTTAGGATACAACTTTAGAATCTTTAAATTATACTTAGTTTCCAAAAGTAAAACTGAAAATTCAGCACAGAGCCTTGCTACTAATTTGGCAGAGGTGAGACAAAAGCATGGTCTTATTTGGTGATTATGGAACAGAGATACAGTTATTAAAAAAGGAAAAATATTAAAGCCAATTTCTTTGTGGGGAAGTTATAATGCTGGGTTTTCAGAGTTATAGATTCCCGTCCCTTTCCTTTCTCATCTCTTTCCCCAGCTCCCCAGGTTGTTCAGATGAGGGCGACAGGGTATGGTTTGGGAGGGGAACGGACGGGTGTAGTGGGACTTAGGAAGGTTTTACTGTTTGGGGGTTTACAAAATCTTGTCAAAGTCTCTCTGAAGCAGCTTACCTGGGTAAGTGCTGCACTTCAAGAGCGATACATGCCCTATGTCAGGCCATCTAAATCTAGCTAAACCATCTCTAATCACTCTCAAGGTGCTGCAAAAGGCAGGAACCAGGCCTGGCAGCCATGACAAAGTTAAAACTTTGGTGTAGTTGAGAATGAACTAAACCAGATCAGACGAGGTCATGATTCGCAAGGAGCTAATAACTGCTAATGTTGCATATTTCAAAGTTTAAGCTGTATGGAGACAGAATCTGACTTGTTTTACTATTTTCATCTGTACAAATTTTCAGTAACAGGCTTAACTAGAGTTCAGTTCTCTTCCAAGATTGGTTTTTATCCGGTAAGCATGCTGATGCTTGTCACATTGTTTTATAATTTAGATTTATTACCTAATTGAATTAAAATTAACTCACAAGTTCTGTGATCATGGTAGGCCAGAGTGAGGTAAGGTGTTGTGGAGACATTCTTAAAAGTAACACTCTGAAGAACAGGAACACTTGAGAGTGAAGAGTTGGCACCTGGGGCAAACGGAGACTCTCAACCAATCTCTCTGAAAGAAATACAGTATATTTTCAATATCAAAACAGAATCATTTTCATATAAGCTTTTCTATATAATCTAGTTCAGTACTTCTCAAACTATATGATGATCAACTTTTTAAATAATTTCCAGTCTGTTGCAGATCAATACTTTCATAAAATATAATAAAAATGAATTACCAGAAAAAATCAAATTAAAGAAAGATAAATACAATGCCATGTTCTTATTACTAGATTCAACAGATTCTATCACATTGCTATAAAGGCTTACAATGCTTACTCTACATTTCTGAACTTATCATGGATGGAATAACAGACTGATACTGGTCCATGTATACACTTTGAGTAGCACCGATCTAGTCGACTTTAAAAGAAAATCACAGGACAAATAGTGTGCATGTTGCACACTGGACATTAGGTATAAAGGGTCAGAAAAGGAGTAGTCACTTATCTTCTGAGAGAGAGAAACAATCTCAGTAAAGAGATGACAACTGTCATCCCCAACCCCGTCCCCGCACAGCCTGCTGAGGCTGGCTGCTGCACAAGCACACTAACTCAGCAGCAAACAATACTGCCTGGGGCAAGTTCACTCCCATCATGGAGCCATCTGGTGGCTCAGGGTGATGACTGCCCTGATACCCTTCGGGACACAGAGAGCCACCAAACCCATCTGATGAAGGTTATCAAAAACCTTATACAACCCCCAACCCTGGCCCCAAACTCTAGATCTCCACCAACTTCTAGCTAAAATAGCTAATATGCCTCTATTTCAGACCCCTCCTTTAAAGGTGTATAACCTCTCATCCACAACAAAAAAACCCACTAATATGCCTGTCTGCAGTAAAACAGTCTTACACCTCGTTCTCAAACATGAATTCCTAGGAAATTTGACCCAAACAATAAAATGGAGACCATGTTTAGGCAAGTCCTATAAACTCAGTGTTTGGTTTCTTTTACATACTGGTGATGATAATTTTTGTCATTTCAACAGAACAAATTTCTAATTCAACAACGTTCTCCCTATCAACGCTTGGTATATTTCACCCCAACTTACAACTTATGGATGGTAATTTCTAAGGAACCAAAAAATTTGGAAAATAGTTTTCCACTATTTACCTTGTATATCTGGAAGATATTTCTGATACTGGTCAATTTCACTGCTAAAAATAGCAAATGCTAATCTCTTCAGAAGCATGGCTCTCTGCTCTAGCTCCACGTCACGGTTTGCAAAGAGATTAAGTGAACTGCTCTGAGCCACAGCTACACGAGCTGGAAGAAGAAGAAAAAGAAAAGCAAGTGAGAGAGGCTGTGATGTAGTCATCAGGCGATTTGAAAAAAGATGATACTGTTTTTTGATTTTAAGACTATCTAGACCCTATGACATCCGGGAGAGAGGACCTCAGGGTAGAGGACTTGGGGCTCCTCTCCGAGGCAGAAGGACTGGCAAACAGATCTAGCATATACAAGCCAGAGGACCAAGGGGTGGGAATTGCAATGTGGAGAGAGAAAAAAATTTAGAACTGTACGTTTCAGAAGGTAAAATCACTAACAATGCCATTTTATAAAACCCTTTATTATTTTAGGCCATTTGCCGAAATCCTTCTCATTGCTTTAAAACTTTCTGGCCTGGCCAGGCCTAGCCTGCCCAGCTCTCCTTCCTCATGTCTTGTACTCACCCCCATTCCCTCTTCTGCAGGCACACTGTCCTGCTTGCTCTTCCTTGAATTCACCGAGCTTGTTCCTACCCTGAGACCTTTATTATTTTTGTCCCTTATTCCTGGAATACTCTGTCCCTAGGCCTTCTCATGGTTGGTTTCTTCAGTTTCACATCAAATATGAGCTCTTGAGCTGTTATTTAAAATCTATCGTATCACCCTATTTCCTTCACAACTTCTTATTACTGTCTGAAATAACCTTATCTATTGGATTAAGGTGAGCATAATGCCTGGCCCATTTTGTGTCTTTTAATAAATAACTGTTAAATAGATGAATCTGAACCTTAAAACAAACCTGTGAAGATAGAATATGCTGTCCCTTTTCCAGAGGGGGAAACCGCAGCTTGGGTTAAGAACTGACAAGAAATTCTACAGGTTCATCCAACTCCACTGCTATTTAAGGTCATTAGTTTAATAACTTTCAAACTTTTAGAAAACCAAGAAAACCTTTTTTTTCCAGATTAGATACTATGAGGAAGCCTAATATATAAGCCAGTAAGATAGAGAAGAAATGGTGCGGAGAGCGATTCTGGCCTTCCTGGCCCCTCTCTTTCTTCCTTACGAGAAGATAAACACAGCCCCAGGACTCTTGTGGCCGAGCCATGCAGTGTGTGGGATCTTAGTTTCCCGACTAGGGATTGAACTCGTGCCCCCTGCAGCAGAAGCTCAGAATCTTAACCACTGGACCGCCAAGGGAGTCCCCAGAGCCCCAGGATTTAGAGGGAGTTGTTTGCTAGGTTTGCTCCTATTGCTGCCTTTCTCAGCCTCCCTACCTGTCAGTCTTTCATTCGTTCAGTGATTACTTATTGAGTGCCATGTTCTATGTTACGTGCCGAGGAAACAGTCTGGAGACAAATTTGACATGGCCAAATAGTTTTACTTATTATTTATCAACTATGTTGTCCTTTTTAAGGTTTAACATTATGTTCCTATCGGGTACTAAGTATAACTTGACAAAGCTAATTCAACAGTTTCTAGAAAACAGCAAAGTAAATACGAATGGATCCTGTAGAGCAAAGACACTGCTTAGGTTGTCACTCCACAATACTCACTCATCAAATCTCTAAATGTCGTCTTATCATGTGTCATCAGATTGTCCATAATTGCTCTCCAACTGAAAGAGACAAGGATTATGATATGTAAATAAGATTTTGTTGTTGTTTATTATTATTAAAAAAGTGTTCTACTTTGCAGATGGTAGTTGATTTCAACAGACTTTGTGAGATGCATTATCATGTTGAATAGAAGCAAGATGACTTACTGATTAACACAAGAGGCATCCATCTGAAAGAAGCTGGGATCCATAAAGAGGTCAAAGGCTTCTTTTTTCCAAGCTCTCCGTGTGTACTGATACCCACTAAGGCTGCTAAGCAGCTGGACACAGGCTCGATAACTAGGGGCATTATGTGCACTAGGAGGAAGGAAAACCACTTTAAACTGTATGTTATAACTTTAATCACCATATTACGTTATACCTAAGTGGTCACATTTACCTAAAGCACTGATGGGAAATAGAAAGCACTATAAGAGAAATAATTTTTTTTAATCACTATAATTCAAGGTAAAAATAAAGTCATTTTGTGGTAATTCCAAAAATGGCGATAAAGGAACACAATTTATTTTTAACAGAGTATGAGTTAACTAACACATCTAGTTAAATAATAATAGTACCTGTGATTTCGGAGGTAGGGCACAACATAATGCATGATATTTACAAGTAAAGGAATAACCCGTTCTTTTTCATCACTGTAGAAAACCATATCCAAAAGATGAGCCAAAACCTAAAAAAAGTTAAGAAATGAAATGGAACGTATAATCTGAGAGCTAAAACTGACAGCACTTAGAGGTGGTTTTCAGTCTGTAAGAAAATCTAGAATACCTTAAAATTAGAAAAACCTAAAATCAAATCTCCCTAAGCCATTTTTACATGAATGGTTTCTGCCACAATGGTTTTCTCCATTATAACTACAGGATATAAATATGGGCAAATTTTGCTATTTCTAACCAAGACAGGGAAGAAGAGAAAAAGAGAGGTTAAGAACCTTCCAATGTGACACTGAGTAAACAGCAAATTTAAGACTAGAAGCTCAGTATTCCCTTCCCCTGACTGGGTTACGAGGTGGCCTGGGGAAAACCCAACCACATGAATTGAGCTGCAACTCTGTCAGTTTGGTCTTAGTCACACTGTGCTAACCTCTCTCTGTAACCACATCTGTGAAGGGGAAACAAAAATGCCCTGATAACGGTATAAAAGAGAGCATGTCAGAGGATGTATATAAAAATGTTTGGTAAACTGTAAATGCTTTGTAGTGGCAAGCATCATTATACCACCTCCACCCTTCCCTACCACACTGTGATACAAAAGCACTTATCATTTTTAAAAAGTACACTTTTAAAAAATAGTGCATGGGGGGGGAGCAATATCTAAAGTTATTATCACTAATATTTAACAAACTACTAACCTGAATGCAAAGTTAAAACTTTATTTTACATATTGATTTCTTGAAGTACAAAACAGTTTTTCAAATTAAAATCTTCTCTGTAAGAATTACTTGCTAATATTTAATTGTGAAACTGTTTACTTGAAAGTTCATGTGAAAAAACCTGATAATGTTTATTTACCTCAGAGAGTAATGTCAATGCATGGACACTATATACAGAAGGAGTTATGTTTGAGGTTTCCATTGCAGGTGATAACATATCTAAGTAAGAGAAAAGACAGGTAAAGATATGGTTAGGCTTCTTTCCCACTGAAAAAAGCTACCTGCTAAACACAAGAAAAGAGATGATTTTACTGTACTTACAGTGCTGACTGCAATAAATTCTTAGTGAATAGATGCCTACAAATATAAACTTAAATGTCTGAGATCAATACCTTCAACATCAGATTCCAAATTGGTTCCATCTACCATTATTTTGGGAGAAGGTTTAACTTCAAGATTTCGCCGCAGCCATGTTGTCTGTTCCAAAGAAGAACCCGCGATTGCACCAATCGCATCCACTATTTTATGAGTCACATCCTGAAGAAACAAGGATAACCCATTATATCTATGTATGTACACAGGCGCACACACGAAACTTCACAGATGATCTTATCTGACTTCCCCATTTTAGACTTGAGGTACTGAGAAACACAGAGTTTGCGCAACAGCTCTCAATTCAGAATGACTTACCTGGAGGTCTCTTTGGTCTTTTTTATTTTCCAAACTAGGGTTTTTCATAATAAACTCATTCAAAACCCTGAAAGGACCAAAGAAAAAAACAAACAGGAAATATAAGTATAAAGAAAATGATGCAATCTAATTTTTCACAGTGAGCAAGTGGTTTTGTGGCCTGAATTTCTTCTATTTTATATGTTTAATGAATGTATGTATATATGGATATCCTATGACTCAGGTGAAACGCATAAACATATGCATGAAAGACCTGTACAAGGATGTCTGTAACAGCATTATTTGTAAAATCCAAAACAGGAAAGAACCCAAAAGTCCAGCAACAGAAGAGATAAACTGTGGCATGTTCATACAATGAAACACCAAACAGCAGTGAAAAGGAATAAATTATAGCTCCATGAAATTATGTGTGTGGGTAAATTTTATAAACATACGTTGTGTGAAAGAAGTAGACACAAAAGAAAATATTTATATATAATTGTTATTCAAAACAAGACAAAATTTATCTGTGTTGTTAGAAGTCAGAACAGTGGTTTATCTTGGGGTGAAGGGAAAGGACAGTAATTGGGAGGGGACCTGAGGGGACATATGATGTCTTATTTCTTAATTTAGGTTTGTGGTTGAACAGTTGGTATGTTCACTTCATAGTAACTTGTGGAGTTGTATGTGTTTTATACATCAACAAAAAGTTTTAAAAATACCCCAAATCCCACCAATCTTAAATTGTAATATAAAAATGGTTTCGTGTGTGTGTGTGTGTGTGTGTGTGTGTGTATGTGTGTGTGTGTGTGTGTGTGTGTGTAGACAGGTATAAAAGGTTAAAAATACTTCATGAATGGAAAAAAATCCATTTCCATTGTTAAAATACCACTCAATATTTACCTTGACTTGCTTTTATTAAGATAAATTATATGTATAATTATTTCCAAACTAATATGAAAAGTGATATTGAAGAGCAATCATCAATTTCTATTTTATAATTAGGAATTTTTAAAGGATCAGTGGAATGGTTGGGGGGAAAAATAAGCCATCAGAAATTTTAAAAGGGAATTTTCTAGTATAACTGAAAATGTCCAACTTTTAATTTAAACACTCAGAAGATAACACACATTGAGAAGGAAGTAGGATCCTTCATTACCCGAGAAACAAGAAAGGAAGAAAAAAACAGGTGAGGAAACGGTAAATCTTGTGGGGGAGAAGCTACAAGTCATAATAGATGGCCTTAATTTTTTTTTTTTTTTTGCGGTAAGCGGGCCTCTCACTGCTGTGGCCTCTCCCGTTGCGGAGCACAGGCTCCGGACGCGCAGGCTCAGCGGCCATGGCTCACGGGCCAGCCACTCCGCGGCATGTGGGATCTTCCCAGACCAGGGCACGAACCCGTGTCCCCTGCATCAGCAGGCGGACCCTCAACCACTGCACCACCAGGGAAGCCCCGATGGCCTTAACTTTTAATGAAATCAGCCAGCGGGATATTTGGTGATGATTCAAAGAACTGTCCATATATTCCCTCTTTGAGCCTTAGAACAATTCAGAGGTAGGTAAGGCAGGTACTGTTATTCTTGACAGACGGGAAAATAGTCTTGGAGGAGTTTACTGATGTACCCAGGGTGCCAGAGATGAGGGTTAGAACTAGAGATCAGAAGATAAGAATCAGAAATCTTCATGAGAACGTTGTTTGAGTTCCAATGTTTACCGTTATCTGTCATCACTAAAAATTATCATACACACCAGTTATCTTAATCTTTGATCCAGAAATTGCAGACACTGAGTCCACTGCTCTTTTCATTACACCTTCAATGTCTAAAACTCCTTCAGCTTTTTGGTTTAGAGAACAGACAGCACGAGGGTGTAGGGATCACTGTGACCCCTGACATTCTCGGGCAGGACTGCTAGGTCACTGTGGCCGGGCTGGGCCCCGTTACTCAGCTTCTGCAGGCTGATCTAGTCTCCTCCAGCTCTCATCACTGTCTCTCCACCCCTTCTCTGCTTCCTGGCGGAAGACTACACCCCTACATTTACCGGAACACTTGAGGCCATTTTACTAAAGAGCCCTCACTTTCCCTCCCCTCCACTTCAAAATTTTCTAGACCACTGGTTGCCAAACCAGAATCACCAGTTTTCTTAAGGACAACAGAGAAGCTAAGTCTGTGTATATAGATCCTGACAACTACCCATTTAAAATCACCATCAGAGGGCTTCCCTGGTGGCGCAGTGGTTGAGAGTCCGCCTGCCGATGCAGGGGAAATGGGTTCGAGCCCTGGTCCAGGAAGATCCCACATGCCGCGGGGCAACTAAGCCCATGAGCCACAGCTACTGAGCCTGTGCTCTAGAGCCCGTGCTCCACAGCAAGAGAAGCCACTACAATGAGAAGCCCGCGCACCGCGACGAAGAGTAGCCCCCGCTCGCCTCAACTAGAGAAAGCTTGCACACAGCAACGAAGACCCAACGCAGCCAAAAATAAAATTACCATTAGAGCTACAGGGGTTGAACAGGTCAAAGTTCTTTGCACTTGGTTGAATTTACATCCATTCAGCGTGGTAACATGTGGACTGTGTGAGGTAATGTAACCCAGGTTGGAGAAAAGTGTATTCCCTTTCCTTCCCCTCTTCTGTCTTAAGCAGTCCTTTTCAAACTTTAGGGTGTACTCAAATCACTTGAGACTTATTAAAAGGCAGATTCTGATTCAGGTGGTCTGGGGCAGAGATTGCAACTCTGCATTTCTAACAAGCTCCCAGGCGACTCCAGTGCTGCTGGCTGAAGGATCAACCTCTGAGTAGCAAAGTCTTAGAGAAAATGCAGCAGGACTTCCCTGGTGGCGCAGCGGGTAAGACTCTGCGCTCCCAATGCAGGGGGCCCGGGTTTGATCCCTGATCAGGGAACTAGGCCCCACGTGCATGCTGCAACTAAGGAGCCTGCCTGCCGCAACTAAGACCTGGCACAACCAAATAAATAATTAATTTAAAAAATGCAGACTTCTTTCTCACTCTTACACCTGCCATTCCCTGGTCTCCATCCCCTCCCAGCTGTCTCTGGAATCTGGTGCTATCAAGGAGCCCCCCTCTCTCTACAATCTTCTGTCTAGCACTCTCCTCTTATATGACACTTATCATCGGCCAGGCACTATTCTAGGAATTTAACAAATATTAATTAATTTAATCCTCGTAACAACTTTATGAGGGGGGCCCTATTATCGTCTCCATTTTACAGACGGAGAGGTTAATAACCTGCCCAAGGCCATACAGCAAAGAAGTAAAGGAGCTGGGATTTGAATCCAGGAAGAGTCTTTGCTGTTCACTACTCAACATCCTCAGGTCATCCTTACCATTAATGATGACTTTCAAATCATATTTCCTCCTGCTACCTTGTCAGTTCTCTTTCTTCTCATGATCAAACATTCAAAGAATAATCCACACTTACTTTCTTCACTCTAACCCTTGCTGTGCTTATCGTCTCACCAAACTACTAAATCACCAATCCTCTCCAAACCATCAATAAACACAGCCTCTTATTATATATCATCTTTCTTAATCTTTCTGAAGGGGTTAGCCAAGCCCTCTTAAATTCTCTTTGCTTCTAGAACATTGAATATGCCTGTTTTCTTCTAACTTTCCGATGTTTCAATGTTTGCTTTTCTATCTCCTTTGCTGGCCCCCTTTCCTTCTTCTGTTGTCCTGTTATTTCAATCCCACCATCCACAGCACACAAACCTGCTACCTCCCACAAGAAACAATTCCTAGTCCATCTTCTTTTCCCTCTGATCCATTCTACTATTAATTTGCCAGTCATGACCCTCCTCAAAACCTGCCATCACTCCCACCCCCTGCCCAAGGCCAAACTTCTTAATGAAAATGCAAAACCCTTCCCCCTTCTAGCTCCCATCTCCCTTTTCATCCACCCACCATTCCACTGCTGTGCCCTACTTCCTGGCCAAACGAGACAAGGTACCTTGCCCAGTGTACCCTTCCCCTTCCTGTTCCACAAAGGCTTTCTGCTCCTACCACCTCCATTCACTGAGCAAATACTTCTTAGGGACATATTATGAGCCAAGAATAATGGAGAGCAAAAGACAGACATTGCCTAGGACATCATGGTGCATGCAGTTAAAGGTGACTGGAATTTACCAAATAATCACACACATTATTAACATATATCAGGAAACAACATGACAGAGAGAAAATGACTCTTCCAAATCTTTTTATGTTTAGGGCCCTGAACTCAAATGACCTCTAGGAAGTTCCCCTTCAGCCATCCTACTCACCCTTACCCCTTTCAATCCCACACTTTCTCCTAAGTGACTAAGGTTGCAACAGCTTTATGTTAGCACATTTACATTTTCCACGTGTATAAACACACAATGTTCCCTCTGAATCCTCCCCCCACCCTTTTTTTACTGGCCTCATATTATACATCTAGTTCCGTACCTTTGAGAATCCTATGAGAAGGTAGACGTCACACAGTCACCCAAAACATGTTATTCAGCAATCAGACAATGAACATTATTCTTTTATTTGAAATCATATTTTTAGGTGAAATTGCTTACCCAAGTATAAGAAACTGCCCTGGGGCTGGAAGGCTCAATTGTATGGAGTCTTTCAGAAGTATCAACAATGATGCCCAGCTATCCACTAAATTGGGCACTGGAATTCTGCAAGATAAACATAGCTTCTATATACAGAGAAAGCCCACATCAACTTTAACTTTCCCTGTATTTCCCCAGTCTTTACCATATTTTCCTACTACTTTCTCTGAAACATTTCCTGAATTTTTATAGACTGTGATAGAACATTTCGAAAAGCTTTATATTTTCTACTAATATTATATAAAAAAAGAAAACCAAGCACACTGAAAATATCCAGTGTAAATTATTAGTCTAGAAATTCTGCTGTATAGAAATACCAATTTTTAATCACATGGACTCTCAAAAGTAAAATACAATTGCAATAAATCTGTTTAATTACTGCCATCATAGTTACCCACTCAATCCTATTCTCTCCACATCTCTCTTATACTGGCTCTTTTTCCTTCACCTATGAGCCTCTATCTCATCTAAGGGGGAGTCATCAATCTAGCCTGAATATCAATCACCTCTAGAGAAATTAAGATTATTACCTCTGTTTCCGGCTGACCTTAACCCTAACTCTTCTCTATGTATCTAAATTCAGCTTTTAGGCAGTCCTTGCTCTAAATCACAACAAGTTTAACCTAACTTTATAAATGTTAATCATAGATCACAAACTGTTGCCAAGCTTGACGATTAAAATGGAAACTACCCTATAAGGGAGGATTAAGATTCAGGTTCTTAAGTAAGAAGCTTATCAAAACTCAAATCAACTAACTTCTGTTCAGTTGTCAGTTAAATGCAAAACTGGAATACGACAAAAAGAAGATATTTTCATATCATCATTCCTAACATTAAAAACAGATAGATTACCATATGTTCGCCTATATCAAAATAATGGATTTAGTGGCAGTAGGCATGGTTTCAAGAGTAGAATGTAGCTTTTCATTCATATTTAAATGATTTTCTTACAATTCACTGTTTTAATGTCCAGTGTATCTTTAATACACTTAGGTGTTTATGTTCGTAGGATTTGCATGACTGGGTCATTACGAGACCAATAACCTTTATTAGTATATCCGTAAACAATGTTTTTCAGTTTCTACTATTAGTTCTCTTAGTTTTAGAAGGAAAAAAAAAAGCAACTTCTTGAAAGAATTCAGGTGCTTTTCTCCTATATTTCCTAACTTTTATACATTGCTAAATGAAATGAGGAGAGAACCACATCAGTTATCTTACCTTTGAATATAAGCATAGAAAAACTGAAGCATGCAGACTTCCAGAGAAAGATGTTTCTATAAACAAAAGAAATCAGTTTTACAATGAAGAAAAACGCTGCCTTTCCTTTTCATAGTTGCAACTACTCTGTATTTTACTGCCAATTTTAAATTAAAAAATGAAAAGCAAACAAAATCAAACACTAGGTTGTCATAAAAACCACGCAGCTCTCTTCCATGCAGTAGGAAAAACACAGAAAAAAAGCTATTTAAAAAGTTGAAAATGGACAGAAGAAATCAAACTATTCTCAGTCCCCCACCCCAACTTCATATCCGAAGTTGATACCCCAAGTCATCACTTTTAATGATCCATTCACTCTGTAAGCGTCAACACTATTTTTATTTTAATCAGCCTATACTTGGCTGGGGCTATCAGAATTAGGTTGAAATTTTTTATGAAATGGGAATTTAAATCTATTTTACCATATGTTTCTGTTAAATTAGTGTAGTTGTCCCAAATTTAAACTAACTCCTAACAGCCTAAAAGGTAATATTTAACTAAAGGTAGTGCTGAGTGTAACATACAATAAAAAGAACACAACTGTCCTTAAATATCAGTAACTGGCAAGAAAATAATACTGATGTCCACCGAAATTTACCAATTCGTTACTTTTTAGTATGAACTATTCCCTTGAAAACTTCCCATTTTACCATATAAAGAAAAATTCAGAATTTAGTATATTGAGAGCAGGGGGTGCAGCAGGTGAGAGGTGTAGAATTTGCTCTTATTTGTTTTTATATCCTTATATCCTGTTTTTATATCTCGGGCACAAGTAGATGCTCAAAATATTATGCTGAATTGAGCTTTCACATGCAAATTTAAAATCCTATCACAAATGCCCCAGAGGTGATTTCAGAACAGTAAGGAAATTGTTAAAAAGTTAATAAGAGGATTAATCTCCAAAACATACAAGCAACTCATGCAGCTCAATATCAAAAAAACAAACAACCCAATCCAAAAATGGGCAGAAGACCTAAATAGACATTTCTCCAAAGAAGATATACAGCTTGCCAACAAACACATGAAAGGATGCTCAACATCACTAATCATTTAGAGAAATGCAAATCAAAACTACAATGTGATATCATCTCACACCAGTCAGAATGGCCATCATCAAAAAATCTACAAACAATAAATGCTGGAGAGGGTGTGGAGAAAAGGGAACCCTCTTGCACTGTTGGTGGGAATGTAAATTGATAACAGCCATTATGGAGAACAGTAGGGAGGTTCCTTCAAAAACTAAAAATAGAACTACCATACGACCCAGCAATCCCACTACTGGACATATACCCTGAGAAAACCATAATTCAAAAAGAGTCATGTACCAAAATGTTCATTGCAGCTCTATTTACAATAGCCAGGATATGGAAGCAACCTAAGTATCCACCAACAGATTAATGGATAAAGATGCGGCACATATATACAATGGAATATTAGCCATAAAAAGGAATGAAACTGAGTTATCTGTAGTGAGGTGGATGGACCTAGAGACTGTCATACAGAGTGAAGTAAGTCAGAAGGAAAGAAACAAATACCATATGCTAACACATATATATGGAATCTAAAAAAAAAAAAAAGAAAAAAAAAACAATGATCAGAAGAACCTAGGGGCAAGACGGGAATAAAGATGCAGACCTACTAGAGAATGGACTTGAGGACACGGGGAGGGGGAAGGGTAAGCTGGGACAAAGTGAGAGAGTGGCATGGACATATATACACTACTGAATGTAAAATAGATAGCTAGTGGGAAGCAGCCACATAGCACAGGGAGATCAGCTCGGTGCTTTGTGACCACGTAGAGGGGTGGGATACAGAGGGTGGGAGGGAGGGAGATGCAAGGGAAGAGATATGGGGATATATGTATATGTATAACTGATTCACTTTGCTATAAAGCAGAAATGAACACACCATTGTAAAGCAATTATACTCCAATAAAGATGTTAAAAATAAATAAATAAAATAAAATAAAAATAAATTCACAGCAGGAAAGAAAAAGTTAATAAGGACACTGGCTATTCACACACGCAAGTAGTACACTCTTCAGGCAACCGAAAAAATAATATTTTCAGATACGTGTAATAATTCTTTTAAGGAAGTGATTAGGTCTATTCTGCCTTGGCTTAAAATCTAATGTTTTCAGTTGGTAAATATTTTTTAAGAAAATAGGACCTGTTACTGTTGCTGGAACAAAGAGCAAAAAAAGTAGAGAAGTCCATAACTTTATTAATTTGTAGACTTTTATGTCTGCCTAGCTAGAGACAATACATTGTGAATGTAGAGACTCCGTTATTCATTTTTTGGTAGCCCTTGCACAGCACAGTTTGTACATGGTCAAGAAATGACACTGACTAGAACTAAGGTGACGGCAAAATGTGGGGAGTTTACAGACTTGAGACATTCATTCTGAAGAGAATGCAGTAAGAAGCTGTGAAAAAGGCAACAACTGAGGTAAACAGACCTTGGGCTCTGGCTTCTGTGCTCTTCCTTTACATGACCAGAAAAAATTTCACCTGAGAATTTGGTCCCACAGCCCCTAACTGCCTTAGACGTACATCTGGAGAGCTATGAGCAGTGAACTGCTCTTCACTGGCCACAGGGATGATCACACAGCAAGTCACTGCAGATACTGAGAACTGTTTTTATTAGGGCAATTCGAGGAGCACATGCAGTCATTTCTGCAATCCTTTTAAATAAAAGGATGTATTGTACAAAAAATATCTTACCTACCAGGGTCATTTCTGAAATACAACTGGAAACAAATCAAAGTTCTTCTTACCTTGTCCTTGGCTATGGCTGGGGGCTGCTTTAAAACTTCTTTCACAGTCTGTATGACCGTTTCTGCTCTCATGACACTGATTGAACGAACCAGTTCTACTAGTAAAAGCTGTTCTTCACTGGCTGCAGGAATAACCTGGAGAATACATCATTGTATTCACTTATGTACGTGTATATTTAAGTCTTTTAAGACAAATCACAGAATCAAGAGAGTATTTTATGGCCTCTTCTTTAGGTAAAATTTCTTTTTTTATCAATATAATACCTGTACATCATTTCAAAAAATCAAATAGGACAAGCCTTTTAAGACAAAATAGCAGTGCCCTCACACTTCTCATGCCCCAAAGCAACAATGCTCAACTCTTAGCTCTTTTCTATCATTTCTGAATAATATACACTGTTATTACTTTTCCTACTTCACAATATTTTCTTTAATTTTACACATCATCTACTGACTTCCTACTTTAGAAGACAAAGGTTTAGCTCTCTTACACTTTTCTCCCTATCCTCCCAACGTAGTTACATCATAACTTCATTTAAATCAACATCTAGGGTTCACATGACTACTTATGGTTATGCTGTGTATTATCACTGCATGTCTTTTCTTGTACGACTTTTTGTTTTCCCTAGAGTTAAACTGTTTTCTTTTGCCAATCTTTAAAATAGTTTTCATTATTCATTCCAATGATAAGGTTCAGCGAGTCTAGATTAATAATTTGCCTCAAAGAAATATAATTGTTTTTAATTTAATTTAATTTTTTAAGGACTTCCACAAAGAAACACTGGATATAATGAACTATGTATGTGCTTTCATTCATTTCAGAGTTGGTTATGATATGAAGAATTATTTATGCATATTTTGTATATAAATTTCCTCTTTTCACTAAAATCATGATGAAAAAAATAAAAGATGTACGAATAATTGTATATCAACCAGCAGATGGATGAAATAAATGAATATACATCAATGGAAAGGAATACAATACCCGTATTCGTAATATTTTATATGTAAATGTGTTTAAAAAGAAAATATGGTTATCATTAAGCAGTATGATTTCAGTTGGATTTTTCTACCTTTATTAAAAAAAACTTCCTTAATTGTCACGATGTGTTTAATAGAAGTGTGTGTGCACATACACGTGCATTTGTGTGTCTGCACTATTTTTGTTTGCTTGGTTTTCTCTATCACATGTTCATCCACAAACATGCCAAAGACGGTAAATGTCCTGTAATTGTGTATTCAAAAACATCAGATAATTAATCTCTCTACCTTCTACTTGGGTTGGTACTCTCTAGGCTTGCTATACAGTATCATCTTGATATCTCTCCTGTGACCATCAGTCTTAAAGATTCCCTTTCCTTTTCTTCTGTGTCGGAACTCCTATTTCTTGGATCCCATCTTGCCTTTTTTCTTGTTTTTTTTCTCCTCTAGTGGAGATACACCTTACAGTAGCTGAGAAAGGGTGAATTGATCACAATTTTTTTGTTTTTTTGAGACATTTCATGGTCAAAACTCACTTGAGTGACAGTTTGGCTTGGTTAGAATTACAGATTGAAACTAATTTTCCCATCATAATTTCTAGTGCTACTGTTGACAAGTCTTATCATTATTCCATTGAATATGACCAGTATTTTCTCTTTAGAAGATTGTCAGATCTTTCTTTTGAATTTTTTTAAATTTTTATTTATTTACTTTTTTGCGGTACGCGGGCCTCTCACTGCTGTGGCCCCTCCCACTGCAGAGCACAGGCTCCGGATGCGCAGGCCCAGCGGCCATGGCTCACGGGCCCAGCCGCTCCGCGACATGTGGGATCCTCCCAGACCAGGGCACGAACCCGCGTCCCCTACATCGGCAGGCAGACCCCCAACCACTGCGCCACCACGGAAGCCCCTGTAAGAGCTCCTTTTTATCTTCAGTGTTTTGAAATTACTTGCTGATCTTTGTGTAGATATATCTCTTTTTACAGTGCCTGCAGCAACTCATTTCCTTCATTTCTGTGGAATTTCCTTGTACTATTTCTTAGATACTTTTCTTCCCTCATTTTTTCTATTCCTTCTTTCTTCAAAAAGATATTGAGCCTCCGGTATTACTTCCCTAATTTTTAAATCTCCTTTCACCTATTTTTCATATCTCTAAATTTACATTCTATATTTGGTACTTGTCTACTTCCACTTTCCAACCCTTATAACTGATTTTGTTTTGCTTCTGCCATAAAATTTTTTAACATTCAAGATAATTTAAAAATTTTGCAATAGTCTTTCTTATAATCTCTTCTTATTTCATGGATGCAATATGGTTTTACCTCTTGAAGGACATTACTATTATTTACATTTTCTTCTGTTACCTGCATTGTTTCTTTTGACTTTCTCTATTTAGTTGTTTCGGTCTTTGTCTAATTTTTTGAGACTTTCTTCATATGACTTGGCGCTCTATCAATTTTAAGTGTGAGTAATAATAATATAACTATATAGATATATATTTACAGAGCGCTTATTAAGCGCTGTGCATTGGTAAGTGCCATATAGATTTCTGTCCTTCTTCCCTTCCTCCCTCTCTCTCTCTCTCACTTTCTTTCTGATTCGCACAACCCCATGAAGCAGTACTGCTACCCTGAAGAAGTCATATAGTCAGTGAGTGGAGAAGTCAATATTTGAACCCCAGCGATCTGGTTTCAAAGTCTGCGCTCTTAACAACTATGCTACTATTGCCTTTCAAAAAGAGAGTAAAACATGATGGGAACTCAAGCATTTGTGCGCAGGACTACTGGATAGGTGGGCCTTCCTGTGTGGTGATAGTAGCCTAGTTTGTTTTTGCTAGGAGACTCAAAAACTTCAGTAGCTATAGATCTTTTCTCTTGGTCAGGTCATTTTCCTAGAGAGGAATCCTCCAAACTCCTACCTGAGGGACATAGTAGCTTCCTGCCATCTCACTGGGGTGAGGGTGATTCCCATTTTTCAAAATGTAGACTTTTGAATGCTGGTTTCAGCATGAAGTCTAATTTCTACTTGTGTCAACCTTATGCCCTTGGGTCAAGAGCCCCTCTTTTTTTTTTTTAAATTAATTAATTAATTTTTGGTTGTGTTGGGTCTTTGTTGCTGCGTGCAGGCTTTCTCTAGTTGTGGTGAGCAGGCACTACTCTTCATTGCGGTGCATGGGCTTCTCATTGCAGTGACTTCTCTTGTTGTGGAGCACGGGCTCCAGGCGTGTGGGCATCAGTAGTTGTGGTGCGTGGGCTCAGCAGTTGTGGCTCGTGGGCTCTAGAATACAGGCTCAGTAGTTGTAGCGCGTGGGTTTATTTGCTCTGCAGCATGTGGGATCTTTCCGGATCAGGGCTCGAACCCATGTCCCCTGCATTGGCAGGTGGATTCTTAACCACTGCACCACCAGGTAAGCCCAAGAGCCTCTCTCAATAAACTCTTCACATAGTAAACTTGACTCCAGTCTCCTGATGGGATAGGGTAAGAGAAGTGGGTGGTTGGTTGCTTGGGTTGGGAAAAAGGTATCTATAAAACTCTCAATCAATCCTCCAGATTTCAGCCCCATCCTAACTCTCTGCCTTTAAGAAGTACCTGATACTTCTACTTCCGGAAACTGTCTATAGTTTTTACAGTGGGAATTGATCCCCTTCTTGCAGCAACTTAGTAGAGCACAGAAGCTGATACTGATATCTAAGTCAATTACAGCTCAGACATGTGTTTTTCATCTTGCAAAATTTTGTAGACTCATTTTTTGATGGTGACCTCTCCCAATTTTTTGGTCATTGTGGGTTTTGCCATTTAAAATTTTTTTACTCTCATTTTTGGGAAGAAAGCAGAGAAAAATGCATGTGTTCAATATGCCATATTAAACCACATGTGCCTGACTGATTTTAAACAGTCTAGGATCTCAGTTCTGTCCAATGTAATATCTACTACTGAATCCTCACATGCAAAATGTCATATAAGTGGGAATGTTTATTTTTATTACTTTAGATATGTCAGCCTATATGTAATGTGAAATCAGCACAAAAATAAGATTAGAAACCTTTAGCTGAACAAATCATATATCTTATGGGAACATAAATTATTTAATAGCCTTAGTATTCTAATGAGTTAGTATTTATATCCGATATAGAACACTTTTTTGAGCTTTTTTTCTTTTCAGATTAAAAAAAGTTTATCTATTAATTTCATTTATTTTTGGCTGCATCGGGTGTTAGCGGTGGCACGTGGGATCTTTTTGTTGCGGCACGCAGGCTCCTCTCTAGTTGTGGCGCGCGGGTTTCTCTCTAGTCGTGGCACGCGGGTTTCTCTCTAGTCGTGGTGCACGGGCTCCAGAGCATGTGGACTCTGTAGTTGCGGCATATGGGCTCTCTGGTTGTGATGCGCCGGCTTAGTTGCCCCGCGGCATGTGGGATCTTAGTTCCCCAACCAGGGATCGAACCTGCATCCCGTGCATTGGTTTTTTTTTTTTTTTTTTTTTTTCTTGCGTTATGCGGGCCTCTCACTGTTGCGCCCTCTCCCACTTGCGGAGCACAGGCTCCGGACGCGCAGGCCCAGCGGCCATGGCTCACGGGCCCAGCCGCTCCGCGGCATGTGGGATCCTCCCGAAACGGGGCACGAACCCGCGTCCCCTGCATCGGCAGGCGGACTCTCAAGCACTGCGCCACCAGGGAAGCCCGGAAGGTGGATTCTTAACCACTGGACCACCAGTGAAGTCCAAGAACACTTCTTTGAGCTTTCAAACCCATAAAGCAACAAAATTTTCATATACATAATCCAAAGACAACATATGAATTACATTTAGAAATGATTTAAGAGGTCACACTGTAATGAAAAACTAGTCAAGATGAAAATTTCTCTCCATATTCTTGCTCTGTACCCTGAATGACTATCATTTAAAAAACACATTGTATTATATTACCATTTCTATGTAAAATACAGCTACAGTTTTAATATCACATTAATTACTTATCTTCACATAAAATATCTTTTATATTTATTTAAGAAATTTAGGTAATATATCATTATCTAAACCTGTACACAAACTTGTTGCCTTTCCACTACCCACCCTATCCCAGCCCCACTGCAACTAATGGAGAATTGAAAATCAGCATGTGCTCACCATATGCTTACCAAATGAAAAGACAAATACATACCTTGGTCCTAGTGGTGGTTTTGTTCTGTCTTCTTTCATTCCATACAAAGGCGATGGCAGCCATAAAGTGAACACCATGATTCATTGAAATGGGCCCCAATAATTCTAGGATCTGCTGTCTCAAGTTCTAAAAAAATTTAAGCAAATGACAGTGAATTAAAAATTATGGAAGCATTAATAACTGGACTGCACTTTTAGTTTTTCTTGAAATAATATACAGAACTTGTATGTTTTACTACCTAAATAATGGTAGAAGAAACTTTAATAGTGTTAAGAGATGCAACCATGGTCATTTTAATTCAAAAGGAAAAAAAAAACCTATAATAGTTTAATCCAAACATCAGGACTTAAATACAATTTTCTAATGATTTCTACCCTTCCCCCCGCAGTGCCCAGTGTGCTCCCATGACTCCCAGATCTAGGAAGTCAGGTCTAGGAGCAAGATGAGGTAATTGAGGGGTATCAATTTGACAACCTGCCATAGCCTAACATGCTTTTAAACATTCACATAATTTCCCTCTAAATATAAAGTAGAAAATTTGGAAAATACCTAAGAGTATAAGAAGAAAAATACTTTTTTTAAATCAACGATTAATCTCATCATATTAAGATAATCACTATTAACACGTGAATTTTCTTTATTCCTTTTTCTGCAGATAAATTTTTTTTTACATAATTAGAAATACAATATTTGTTTAATTATGTAACATCCCTGTTCCACTAAACTTTTAAGCACTTTCCATCCACTAAGGATTCTTCAAAACCACGACATTAGTGGCTACATAATGTAACACTGAACAGATAATTTATTTAATCATTCCCTCATTGTTCAGGATCTCTCTTTTTTCTGCCATTAAATAAGGCTATAATAAATATTTTATGTATATATTTACATAATTTTGATTACCTTAGAATTCATTACTAAAGTAGACTACTAGGTCAAAGACTATGAAACTTAAAGATCTCTGTATATTGCTAAACTGTTCTCCAGGAGAGATTTGCATATTAAAATGTCAGCTTGAAATGTCCTAAAAAAAGGAACAAAGTTATAACATGTATGAATGAACCTCAAAAATATTATGTCACATGAAAGAAACTAGATACAAAAGACCAAATAATGTATAATTCCATTTACAGGAAATGGCCTGTAAATGGAAAAAGCAAATCGATGTAGAGAAAACAGATTAGTGGTTGATTGTGGCTAGGGATGGGAACCGAGGGGCTGCAGATGGGCATGAGGCATCTTTCTGTGGTGAGGGGTACGCTCAAACATTAGGTTGTGGTGACAGTACTACAGCTCTGTACATTTACTAAAAAACAAAACAAAAACAAACACAAACATTGAATTATATATGCTTAAAAAGGGTGAATTTTGTGTTATGTCATCTCAATAAAACGGTTAAGAAATTACTTGATAACTAATTACACAATCCATGCAGAGTATCATAAATACTACTCAAATTATTCACAAATTCAGAACATAATCTTTGGGAGAAACCTCAAATAGCCTCTTGAGCACCAAGGATGAAGTGTGAATTATCTAACCTTTGTGGCTCCAAGATTAATAGTGGTAACAGAGGCGGATGCAGCAATGGGTATCTTTTCCGAAGAATCGGCCTGATGCAGTGTGCTCCAAAGCAGTGTCACAGAGGACATGATCATGTGAAGGATCGAGAGGATTCCACTGCGGGCTTCGAACAGGTGTTTCTGGTCTACATTGACCAAAAGCTATTAAAGTTGGGGGAAGAAAATGTATCACTTCCTGAGGTTTACAAATGGGACTTATTAGGCCTCATAATCTTTAAAAAGCAGTCAAATATTTGTGCAGTCTTACTTGGTGATACTGTGTAGTAGGGTCCAACAAACAGTAGTGGATAATGGCTGTGATCCCTTCCAAAAGGGTAAGAATCATATCTGGTGGAATAATTGATGCCATCCACAGAGGCCTGAAATAAAATGTATCCATTTGAACACAAGTTCTGTGAAAGAGAAGTTTGTGTTTTATCAGTAGTAAATGTCCAGCATGTGACAGGCACACAGTAAATGCTCAATAAATATTATATAAATAAATAACTAAGTGAATAAATTAGGAGCTTTTATATTCTCACCTAATAAAATAAGTGAGTCACATTAGATGTACTAAAGTTCTTTTTGGATAATAAATTCTACACAAAATAAATACAGCCAGTAAATCTCTAGCAACCATGTAATGGCAGGCATATCAATATTAAAGGATACAGGAAGTTTTCGTATATTTTATATCTAGTACCTGAGATTATACAGGAGATAAACCAGACACTAGTCTATTAAACATCTGGATAATTCTGACAGATTAATTTTGAACATGGCCTGGGGATACAGATAAAATTCGCCACCAAACTGAAAATCCTAAATGAGAAGTAAAATCAGATGGGAAAAGAATTACTTGTAATTTTAAATTAATTTTAGTGTGAAATTAATTTGCACTTAGATAAACACATCAGATAAAACCAGGGAAACCCTTTGCTGAGCTATTACTTTTGCCAGCTCTGTTAAGAGCATCAAAATTAATTTCAGCTCTTAGGAGAAAAAAGTCCTGTTTATATATTCCTTCTGTTTTCCACTCCTGATTCTTTTGTTGATACTCTTCCTCAATGTTCTTCTTTATGAAAATAAGATACTGTTTGTAACCTAATGATAACCACTAATTTACTTCCCCAAACTGCAACTGACTTACTAGATGATTAAGCAGTAATATAGGTAAAAAATGTTAATAATGACAAAATTAAAAATCAACCCTTACCTACTATCAGATAATCCTGTTTCATATTTGTACTGCTGAATTAGGTTATCTAGATTTCTGCAAAGCTGTAGTGTCACAGAAACAACCACTCTCTGTAGAACTTTTCCCATGTAAGGCAGAGTAGATGTGATTAAACCAATCCATTGTGGGTGCATCTTACAAGCACAGTGTTGATGTAAAGCTCGTATCACCGCACAGAGGAACATGCCTTGAGATGTGATTGGCTGGGCATGCAAATACTGAAGAGAAGTCATGGGCTGATGCGGATTGATGTGTTCCAGATCAGATACCACAAAATCAAAACCCGTTTCATTCTCTTCAGGGATAGTCATTACCCTGTGTTCTAGAACAATGAGCCTCTGAAGCACTTTAAGAAGCTGTGACTGGAGTGTGCTGCCACTGTCAAATTCATCTTCTGAGAAATTGATCAGGCTGTCCTCTGAGAAACCTTCTTCCACAGCAACCATGTTCTTACCTGCCATCTTTTCACTGTGCCATTTCTGTGCACTAAAGATAGATGACAGCAAACAGTGAAGAATCACTTTCTGAACTTTGCACTTAGATAACATATCAGAGATAAAACTAGGGAAACCTTTTGCAGAGCTTTCTATGACTTTTGCCAGCTCAGTAAAGAGGAGTGTCAAAATTTCGATGCTCATCATCTGCATGTTTCGATTGCCTATTAAATCTTGTGACGTAACCTTGACATGAGTTGGGTAATGGCTACGCATGTAATATAAGCAGAGGGAAATAAGGATTTCTATGTACATAGAACTCCGGAAATTATGATTCGAGTCCACAGGAATGTGACTATAAAAATCTTTGCCCATAACAGAAATCCGGTGTCTGGCCAATAGATTCTGAAGCAGAGACAACTGAGGAGTATATGCATTATTTACACTAGTGGTTGAAATGGCATTTACAAAAGCAATGGGGTTAGTTTTCAAGATGGCCTTGATGGCAGAAAAAGCATACAGAGTCCTTGATGAATCATACAACTGGAGATACAAAAGCACATGTTGATAGAGCGGATGGATGTTGAAATTGGGAGATCTCCGTGATCCTGGAGAACCCACGTCACTCTCAATTTCAGAAATTTCTCCCTCTCCACAGCTATACCAGTTCTCTAAATCCAGACCATCACTGAAGAAAACACTGGTTTGTTTGAGTTTCTCATTTGAAGTTTTTTTCTTGTCATCATCCTTTTTTCTGGCAAGTTTTACTTTAGGTTTTGCTCCTGGTTGTTTACCTGACTCCTTAACAATTGTTTCTTTCTCTGAGACTTTTTCTGATAATTTTTCTTTGAAGCTGAACTGAATACTACTGTGACTTCTCTGTCTAGATCTGGTTTCTGTAGAAGCAACAGAAGAGTCATGGAAAATCTGTGTGGTTCCTGAAATACAAGGTGAGGAGCTATTTCTGGAGATTCCATTTGGCACACACTCACAGCCTTCCTCTGCAGACACAGACAAAAACTGAGAATTTTCGTTACTCGGCAAAGCAATCTGACTCTGCTGAGCGGACTGATCCTCACTTTTAATCATCTCCTCGCCTGGATCTACATCATTGTCCTTTGGGGGAATATCTTCGATTTCTAACTGAGAGGGCACTGATGCAGATTCTGCTTCGAGGCCACTTACGACTTTACATATCAGGTCAAAGACAACCTGCTGAA